ACAGTGTAATATGGAAAACTTTTGAGCGCAATTATCTCTTTGTAATAGATAAAAAATGAGGCAAGGATTGATTGATTTGATTTTCGCAGACTTTCTTTCTACCTTCTAGGGATATGTATTGGCTGCTAAGGCTAATAAGCCCAAAAACTTTTCATATTTATAAAAGGAAAATTGAAAATAACGATTCTTATTACTTACAAAAATACCGTTTAATTTTAAAATTTCGACTTTGCGTTCAATCGAGATGATAAATGTAAAAAATCGGGTTTGAACTGGTTTAAACAAAATCGAAAGATCGAAAAATTAAAAGCAAAGTCGACATCTGTTTTCGACTACGTAATCCCACATCACTTACCTTCATTAATTAGAAGACTTTAATCTACGATTCCTTCCTAACCTACCCCACGCAGCTGTTTAACAACAATGATCTACTTGCAACAATAAACCATGTCCAATACAATATTAATTAAAATTTATTTTATTACAACGTTGTTGTTGTTGCTGTTAACTTCAAAGTATTCTTCCATACATTTCTAATGGAAAGTATATACATTTAAGTAATTAATTTTAGCTAGTAGACATGCTGCTTTTATTATTATATACAATTTTTTTAATTATAATTTATTTATACCATGTCCATTCTAGAAACATTTGAACTGGACACAGTCAGCTAACCAGTCAGCCATTTAGTTAGCTAGCCGTCAAGCTAATGCAATATAATTTAATTAACAACATTAGGGTTGAGAGGCTAAAACAAGTGTTGGTACATTTTGTCTTGAGTTTTTTAATACCAGTAATTGAGTAAGGGGAAATGGAGGGCGAAACGGGAAAAAATCACTGCTTATTTCCAATAGAAATGCCGGTTAGATAAGAGTCCATTGAAATATTAGCCTATCAAATGCTTATCAGTTTTAAAAGAAAAGAAATACCGGTCATACCAGTTGGAACCCAACGATTAGAACTTTAATAAGCATACTTGTATATCAAACCAATAATTGACACAGATATGAAATACGAATATTTTGTTTAAAATATCAAAATCAATGCAACTTGGCGAACAATATGATCTACAAATGTTCGAGAGAGCAGCAAATGCAGTAACCCAAATTCTTTTGAGATGCTATGAAGCTTCTTGTCCAATCACACAACCAAATCAAAAAATTCCAATCCTTCAATGTTTGCGGGATACCGAGTAGCTGTGAAACCCAAAAAATAAAAAAAAGAAAAATGAAATAGTGTTTTGAAAATATTTTCAATCTTTATTGTAAAGTAGATGGGTTTCGTGATCGCGAGAGTTAACTATGATAGCGAGAGATCACCGAAAGCGAGAATGCAAATGTTTAATCTAGGGATAAGTGAATCGACTTTCAACTAATCGATTAGTCGACTTTTTTTATTGAAAAGTCTAAAAGTCGAAGTCGACTTTTGAACTTTGAGAAAATTGCAAAGTCGACTTTTCAAGATCGACTTTCGATATTCTTCATAAATACTTGGTTTATTATCACAAAGCCGAAATTGCCCAAAGATTACACATTCCAGAACTTTATTTCATCTGCTGACAACAATTCTTATAAAAATATTACATTTTTAGTCGATTTTGCTTTAGTTGGTAAAAGTCGAAAATCGATTTTGAACAGGTTTGACAAAACCGAAAGATCGAAAAGTCGACTTTTTAGTCAAAGGCAAAAATCGAAAAGTCTAAAAATCGACTTTTTGGTCAGAGGCAAAACTCGAAAAGTCTAAAAGTCAAATTTTACTTTCGACTACGTATCCCTAGTTCAATCTATGATAGCGCGAAAACAAGTGATTTTGCGATGGATAAGAAAGCTACAGCAAGACCGTGATCAACAACTACGACCACAGTATTGGAAATGGCCTCTCTGCATCCGAACTAAGCGAATATGGCTTCCAGGAGTTATAGTAGAAGAGAGCGAAACTCTCCCCTACAATCCAAATTAGGCGAATGAGGCTCCTGGGAGATACGCAGAGAATATTTCCCCATTGGGCTCTAAAGAGCGGCCAATTAAAGTGGTTAATTTAAATGATGTAGAAGGTGAAACAATTTATCGAACATATGCATTGCATAAAATACAAGAGCTTTATTGAATCAAACAGGACGCTTAAAAATTTCGAGAAATAACAAAATGTTAAGAATAAGGAAAGTGATAGACAAAGGAGAAACAATAATAGACCATTTTTTATTAATTTCTCTTTGGAGATGAGCTACATGATCAAAGTTGCAATGAAAAGGAAAGTCAGAGAGATACTACATTCCCACAATTATGCGACGCGTTTCGCCGTTGGTTAAGCGGCTCATCAGGCATATTGGGCAATGTGGCAATCCTTCGCCCTAAAAAGGCATAAAACTCAAAAACTCAGCTTGAGCCCGGGTGGGATTGAAAACATATTGAAAACTGTAACTCTAATGACTTTCAGTTTTACTGCTATAGGGGCCCATGCATTCCTTTCTATATGCTGCGAACGCAATAAATATTCCGCATACAACATTAACATCACAAAATTTCCCTCCAAAGGTCAAACTGAAAAATTAACATCTCGATTTCAAAAATTTTCAAATTTTGTGTGTTTGAAAAGAAAAACAAATTTGAGCGAACGGAAAAAAATAATATAAATACAATATCTATGTGAAGATAAGGGCAATAAAATAGAGAAACACACACACACCAGTAGAAAAAGTGAAAGTTTACCGCTATTTGTTGGTTTATTATATTGACATAAGCCAATGGGTATCGTCTTCCCCTGCTGCGTGCCATCCAAAACTCAAAACTTATTAATTATTATTTTTCTTCGTCATTTCTATCGTTTGCTTTGATTCATATCTTATGAATGAACATCATTTGGGGGAATGGATGTTGTAATGTGATAGAAACAAAAACGAAATACCGATTGTAGCTTTCATTATTGGTAGACTATTATGGAACCGCTTTGAGCTAAACTTTACATAATGACTGGAAGTTTTTTGCTTTGTTTTTGGAATTTACAGTTGTTCGAACTACTTTAAATGCTTATGCAAATTTTGTTTTAATGACCACCCTGAGCCGCCAGACGACACGTCTCGCTTGAATAACTTAAATTTATCGATTTTTTCTTGATTTTTGGCGTTAAATTGCAACATTGAACTTGAATCGAAATTTCGAGTTTTGAATCACAGAGAGAGAGTAATAATTGTTTATGTACACAATACGAATATTCTACAATGACAACGCAAACAGGTGAAAACTACTCAGTCATCTTTCTATTGGATCTAACACTAGCGACGAAGTTTAGACACTTGTTATCTCATAGTTTATCGGTTACGAGACTACACCGAACGGGATTACGTTGCATCGTGCTGCTACAGCGCAATTTCCAGCGAGTCTTCGTCCATTTTCTTCGTCGGAGTACGGAATTCCACCGCCGTCTCCTCAGTATGCAGCATTTAACAACACACGTTGCAGTTCCTACTCCTGACAGTGCATCATTTCTTTAATTTAATGGCAAATGTCTTCTACGGAAAATAGACGAGATAGTGGATTTCATGAATATATCTGGTCTTAGCGGTGCAGGAAACCAAGCTCAATGAAAATTGTACATCGTTGTGATGGTTACAAAGTTCGGAAAGAGGGTCGCACCAGAAGTGAATGTGGGGTCTAGTATTTCACATGCACCACTTCGTTCAATACAGGCCTTTCTCGCTTGAACTAGACTCTAGTGAATCAGTTAAATGTGCTACTGCCGAGGTAGAGGTGCTGGAGGACAATAACCGTCTGTAATAGGGGATTTTGAATGGAGGGCGTGCTCACCATAAGTTGTGGCATTCCGTCTTTCCGTATTGACAGAACGAATTGATGGCTCCACGTTTAATGAGGATGCCCCTACCAGATGAAATGGAGAATGTCGTAGTTCCATTGTGTCACCCATTCTGATAAATGACGTCAACTGGCTGCCCATCATTTCTCTTGGCTCAGACCACCTCCCCCTAAACGTCTTCATCATCAGACCGCCCAGATTTTATTACCTATGAAAACCCCACTTTTCATAACCATAGGAAAGCCAACTGGCAAGGATTCAGAGAGTTCACCAATCAGCGCTTCAAAGAACTTTCCATTCCTTCTGATGTACAGGTAACAGAAAGAACATAATTGCAGATGCTAGATTTATACCTGCTGGTGGAATACCCAAGCATAGGTAGTTTCCCAGCTTAGGTAGTTGGTCTAGCAAATTAGTATGATGAGCTCCGTCGATCTAACCCAGCAGATCCCAGGTCCAGGGAACTCACATTGGAAGTCAGCAGATTAGCTGGGATCATAAGCAGAGCATCTAAAGAGTTGCAACATCGGAACCGGTGTGGTAAACTGCGGGCTACGGTTATGTCGATGTCGAACCCTGGTAAGAAGGATGACAGGACTTCAGTCACATTTAACGGCGAAACTGTGACTGATTCGAAGAGATGCTCAAGTTATTTTAACCGACAGTTTGAGCATACTGAGAGCGACAGGGCGAAGCGAAGTATACTACGTCGTATAAGATCTCTTTCCACCTAGGAGGTACCAGTTTACAATGGGTGATGTTGCTTGTGTCAGCCGTAGATCTCAGTAATCTAAATCTTTGTGACTGATCCGAAGAGATGCGCAAGTTATTTTAAACGACAATTTGACAAGCATCCCGAGAGAGACCTGGTGAAGCAAAGAATACTACGTAGTATAATATCTCTTCCCGTCGAGGAGGTATCACAACAGTTTACTATGGGTAATTTTACATGTGTCATCCGTAGCGCTAAGTCATCTAAATCGTTGGGCACTGAAGAATATCCATGATTATGTAAATATTTGGACGCATCCGAAGTTGATTACTTCACCAAACTACTCAATTTGTCGATAGCCAATTACATTGTTCCCGAGGCCTGGGCAATGAGCAGGATGGTTCCGCTACTGAAGTCTGGCAAGGATGCCAGCAAAGGTGAATCATACAGGCCGATTTAATTTTTTTCACCCGTAACAATGACTCTTGAATTAGGTAAATCTATCCAGTTGCGAACAACATGGATTGCGTAAGCAACACAGCACAAAAGCTGGTCGTGACATAGAACAGTGTTGGTAACGATTGACCTATCAAAAGCCTTTAATACCATCAATCACTCCACCCGGTTTGAGAACATCGATAACACTTCCCTCCAGCCAAGTTTGAAACGTTGGATCAATTAAAAACGTGTATGCCAGTCGAATGTGGAGTTCCGGAATAAGAAGTCCAAACCCCATAGTGTGAATCAGGGAGTTCCTCAGGGTATAGTGATATCTCCAGAACTGTTTAACATCTACTCTTACGGTATTCCACACCCTCCAGACGGCATAGAGATAGTTACGTATGACGATGATTAGTATGATCATGGCTTCGGATCCTATCGTTGTGGACATATGTGTAAGGTTGAACGTCTATATCGCCGATTTAGCAGCCAGCTTCCACCTGAGGAATATAAAAATATCCACCACGAAATCTTCGGCCACATTAGCTCCAGTCCATTAAATACTATAGATTATTCAAAAAAGTTAGAAGAAATATTTTGTCATACCACATGATATAGCTCTACCAACTATGTACCTCATTTAGAATCACTTGAAGACTTCGTTTCCATTGAAATATATTCAAAACTTCACCTCGACCCTTCTTCACAAATTTCCAATACTAATCTCGTTCTTTCCCTTTACAGAAATTCGCCCATCAAAAAATTCTATGCCGGCAAGAATGTGTTCATTACCGGTGCCACCGGCTTTGTGGGTGTTACCATCATAGAAAAATTCCTACGTGATATTCCCGAAATCGGCACCCTATATATTTTGATGCGCGGCAAACGTGGCAAATCTGTTGAACAACGTTTGGAAGATTTGAAAAAGAATTCCGTTTTCAATAAATTTAAAGAATTGAAATTGGAAGATCGTTTTGCCAAGTTGAAACCCGTTGAAGGTGATGTGGGACAAGATAATTTGGGTCTCTCAGATGCCGATCGCCAGCTGTTGATCAACAACGTTAATGTTGTCATCCATTCGGCTGCCACATTAGACTTCTTCCAAGGTTTACGTGAAACAACATGCATTAATTTGTTGGGTACCCGACGTGTTGTGGAGTTGTGTTCGCAAATACGCAATTTAAATTCATTGGTACATGTATCCAGTGCCTATGTTAATTCATATATCACTGAAGTGGAAGAGAAGTTATATCCCGCCCCCGATGACCCAGAGAGAATTATTGAATTGGTCAATAAATCAACGGATAAGGAACTGAAGGAAATGGAACCAAAGTGAGTAGTTTTGGGAATATTTATGAAGGAGTAATATTATAAATTTATGATAAATTCTGTTTTTTAGGGTTCTCAAGGACCATCCCAACACATATACCTTTACAAAACACTTGGCAGAACATGAAGTTGCCAAGGCTTCGACACGTTTTGCCTGTGGCATTGTTAGACCCAGTATGAGTAAGTATCACCGTTTATTTAAATAGTGAATAATATATATTTGAGTAGATGTAGGTTTCGTTTGTCACTTACTATAAGTTTTCTGAGACTACATCGGTTTTAAATACTCATTGTCCACGAGCCATCAATTCCTATTGAATTCTTTGATATTATCTTCTGAAATCCTGCCGCTTCGACCCACTAAGGCATATCTAAGACTCTCGCTTAGCTTAATCTCACTTGCGTACTTATCAAAAAACTCCCTATAAGTATCCCAATCTGTACTAAGATTAGATTTATTTCCTTTATTAAATAATTTCCTCGTGTCCCTTCGTAGAGACGCAAGGTCTTTTTTCCACCAGACCGGCTGTGATTTTTCCCTAAGTAGGTGATTGGACAAGAAGTCTCATAACATCTTAGGAAAGTTGCCCCTTTGTATTGGGTAGCTCCACTAAAACTGCAACCGATCATGATCAACCACGCGCGTTAATATGATGATCTTCAGATGACGCTCGAGTAGTGGCCAAAGACTTTTACTGATCCTAATATCAGGGTCAGCTTTGCTATGATGGCAACTCTCTGGTCGTTTCTTTAGCAGCGCATTTCGAACGTTGATGTGACGATTTGACACTATGTCCAACTTTCATCTTCCCTGTTGATTTCTGTTGACCTTCGATACGCTTTTCTATCCATCGCTTCTTTTATCTTGACACTTTTGGGAACAGGAGCCTCCAGCGAGGGTTAAAAAGTTGCTTCAATTTTAACTTCTATCCCTTCAATATGCCTTTACAGTGGGATCCTGTCGCCTTGTTATAGGTCCCAGCGGAGTTAGCTACTGTACGCGAGGTGGAAATTCGGTCAATCAGAAGTTCTCTAGATGCCTTGTGGGAATAGTTATTTTCGTACATCCTCACGACCTTTAGGTGCTTCTTAATTCAGCTGAATGAATTCCTTCTAGCTGATCTTTTTGGCGATCTTATCTATGTATTGTTGACTATAACAAATTGACCTTCGATATGCTTTTTTATCCATCGCTTCTTATGTCTTGGCACTTTTGGATACAGGAGCCGCCAGCAAGGTTTCCAAAGTTGCTTTGGAGCACTAAATTTTAACTTCTATCCCTTAAATATGCCTATACAGTGGGTTTCCTATGTTGTCGCCTTGTTGGATGTTTAGGCAGATGTAACCACCGTTCGCGAGGTACAATTTCGGCCTCATTCCTGAATGAGGCTGAAGAGGGATTTACTTTGTCGGGTCAAATTTTCGTTTATGTCGCAATATCGACGCAAAGTCATTCCCTCCCGCAGTTGGCGCCCGTTGCGGCATGCGTGAACATACCCTCATTGATTTCTGAAAAGAGTCCGAGTTCATATCCCGAGTATTAGGGCTTGTGACATTTAAGACTGAGGGTGCCAGGGCAGCAACACCATCATCAGTCAAAGGTTTTGTTTTGGTTTTGATGGGTTAAAAAAGGTCAATCATGACAAGGACTTGGTAACTAAACCTAATACTCATCGAGGGGCCCATCTATAGATGAGACTCTGCTCGAATACCGTCGGAACACGGACTGCTAACCATATACACTGATGGGCACGAGTTCGCTAAATACCCCAGCGTTAGGGAGTCATCCTTTAGAATTATTATATACTTATAACATACTTAGCTGGCTTGTGACAGAACATTTGTTCCATAAGCCGAGTTTAAATAAGATTTCCAGGCGCATCGGTCTTGTGCGCAGCTTTTCCTATTTAAAAGGTCATGTTTCGAAATGTTCTCTTCCAGTTGATCTTTTCATTTAATTTGTGGCTTTCTCCTTCTGCGTGAGCCATCAGAAGTTATCTGCCCAAGAATAGATCGTACAAATCATGGTTCATTCGATATTCAACGTCAACGCAGATCGACCCATAGATTTTTCTCTCGAACACTCCAAGAGCTTCCTTATCTGCCTGCGCAACTACACATGCTTTAGATACATATAACAGCATGGGTAGTATCAGCGTCTTGTAAAGTGTGAGTTTGGTCTGGCGGGAGGTGGCCTTGTTTCTGCTGGCAAACACTTTCCTTCTCCGAATATCAACTAATGTCATTAGTTTTATTTATGGCGGTACCAAGGTATATAAAATCTTTGACAACCTCGAAGTTGTAGTTCTCAAGTTCCACAGTTGGTCCGAGTCTAATGGACGTCTTGTTCGTTGGTGCCATTAACTTGGTCTTCTCGCCATTTACTGTAAGACCCAATTTTTGCAGATTCCTTCTCAATTTGTTCAAAGATGGCTGTCACCGATGGCAATGTTCGCCCCATTGCATAGATATCATCGGGTAACATGATAACACGTGACGAGTAACATGTGTTGTTTGGTGTATAGAGTGTCATTTCTGTTCACCTTTGCCTCTCGTATGACCTTTTCGAGCAGGACGTTAAAAAGATCACACGGCAAACTGTCACCTTGTCTGAATACTCGATCGGTATTAAAGGGCTCCGGGAGGTACTTTCCGACTTAAATTGCTGACCTTGTGCCAGTTAAAGTTATCCTGCATAGCCGTATTAATTTGGCCGAAATGCCAAACGCAGACATGGCTTTAAACATCTCTGAACGGATAAGGCTGTCGAATGCGGCTTTATAGTCGACACATAGGTGGAATGTGTCGATATGTGGGTCTTTTCCAGGTTTATTATTGGTCTTATAAATTTCTGGCAAGATTTGAGTACCATATGACCTCCTCTACGTCCTTCATGCCAATCGGTGATCAAAGTAATCAACTTCTTGGCCAATTTATTGAAGACTGATGACGTTCAAGACGAATTCCAACTCTATAAGATTAGTGGCCCCATTATCATTTTATGGGACACAAACTTACAGTAGGCACAATGCATCAGAATCACAACTATTTCTTTTTGTCAAATATAGGTTAAGAGAATCTCGCTCTGCTGACAGATTTCCTTTGTCTGGGTTTATACATGCAACTTTTGAAAGCAACTCTGCTGAGTTCTTAGAAGTGAGAGGTATAAAAAGTGACAAGGGGAAAGAAATTCAAAAGAGAATCGTAGAGAGCAGCAGCAGAGTTGCTTAGAGAAGTTGCATGTATAAACCCAGACTTTAGGAACTTTCACCAATGTTTAAGTTATCAACCTCTTCAATTCCTGTGCTATTCAGGGCAAAGAATCACAAATTTTACATTTTTATATAGAAAATGGCTGCCAAGGTAATGTTGAAACATTTCATGATTTTCTCAATGTATCCGACCATAAGAATGCTGTACCATGCTGCTCTTAATTTGAAATTTCTTGATAAAAGTTTGAAGAAATATTTTTTGAGAACTATTGATTGCTAAGCTATCTGGGAATAAGAAATATTCACTTCTTTCTCTTAATTTTTGCTTCTTCTTTGACAATATTTTAATATATATTTTTTTTATTTTTTAGTCACCGCTGCCTGGAAGGAACCCATACCCGGTTGGACTATCTCGAAAAATGGTCCACAAGGTTTCGTTATGGGCGCTGCCAAGGGTGTCATTCGCCGTTTGCCCTTAGATGCTTCAATTATTATGGACTACATACCAGTTGATGTGGTTACAAATGGCATTATCACAACTGGCTATTATGTGGATGCATTGAAGTAAGTAGAAAATATTTTAAATAAAATTCAAACAAGTTTTAATAAGTAAAATGAAATATTGAAATGCCATCACTTAAATATTTATTATGGCAATACTGCTCGCAACTACTACGAAAAATCGTGTCATGCACACAAAAAGTGATGCCAAGTTGATATTATTATTGTACAGACGCCTAAAAGTAGGCAATACATTTTACATATTCAACATATCTTAGACAAACCACGTTGAATCATGCTCTACCTAGTAGCACTACTTTTAGCAATGCTGGTGGCTTAACGTGTTAGTCGGCGGCGAGTATTGTCTACGTTTTTCTGAGGGTTGCGAGTTCAATCCCTAGTGGCGGCGAAGAAAAAAATAAAAAAATCCATTGCCTTGTGACATTTCACATGAAAAAGGGGGCCTCTTGCTTTGGCCGGGTTTTTCAAATCACTATGAAATATCCCGTTTATGCGCAAGAAGGTAGATTAAACAACAAAAGCGAATTTGCCTTCGGTGCCCATTACGGTTAATAAATCCGTGGGAATACTATCATCCTTGTTTCGCGTTACAACTTTTTTTAGATAATCATTTTGTTAATAAAAAGTTGATTAAATATTTTTAAGTATAACACAAAAAAATATTTTTTTATAAAAAATATTATAAAAAATTAAAAAAAAATTATAAAATAAATATTTTTAGAAATTTTTTTCGTATTAAAAAATAAAGAAAAATTATATCATTTATTAAAAAAAATATTTTCTATTAAAAAATATATATTTTTATAAAAAAAAATATTTTTTATAAAACAATAAAATATTAAAAATATTTTTTTTAATAAAAAATAATAAAAAAATATTTTAATTATTTTTTAAATAAAAAATATTTTATTTTTATAAAAAAATATTTTTTTAAAAAAAAAAAAAATAAAATTAAAAAAAGTTAAAATTAAAAAATAAAAGAAATATTTTTTTTAGAAAAATGTATTTTAATAAAAAAAAATATTTGGCCCAAGGACGAATCCTATTGAAATTGGGAAAAATCGGTTAAAGCTCCCATATATATTTTCGACCGATTTAATGTAAATGGTGCATCAAAGTCCCTATATATCATTCGTTTTCCACGAAATTTCGCACAGGGTATTGAATTAGGATGATGATGTGTGCTAAGTTTCGTGAAAATCGGTTAAGATTTAGATATAGCTCCCATATATATTTTCGTCCGATTTAATGCAAAAGGGGCACCAAAGTCTCTACATATCTTTCGATTTGCACGAAAATTTACATATTTACATAGCGTACTGAATTAGGTTTAGAATAACGTGTGTCAAGTTTCGTGAAAATCGATGCAGATTTAGATATAGCTCCCATATATTTGTTCTTCCGATTTTATCTAAATGGTGCACTAAAGACCCATAGCTTGGCCGATTGACACAACGTACTGAAAAAAATATATATTATATAGTCGGTCCAGTCCGACTTTACTACTTTCCTTACTTGTTAATTTTCGTCCAATGTTTTTGTGTAAATAAAACATGTTAATTGATGTTAAATTAGAATCTAATAACAAAATCAATCCTTTCTTTGCAGACAAAAGAATGGCAACAAACCTGATAAATTGCAAATCTTCCACATGACCTCAAGTACCTATAAACCATTCCGTTTTGAGTCATTGAAATCTCAAATGAATATGGCCATGCATGAATATCCTCTGAAATCTGCTGTGTGGTAAGTAGAACTATATTTCAATCCTAATATATGATAACAATTTTTCAATGTCGCCATGACTCCCCAATTTCTAGGTATCCACATCTTAAGTTTGTTGACAACTTGACGGTATTCCGTATTGGTGCTATTCTATTTCACTTTTTACCAGCCATATTTTTGGATCTGTTGACATTAGTAACGGGTGGTAGACCTATGTAAGTATTGCAAGATTTCTTTTTAAATTGGGATGTAATTTTTTAACGTGTTTTTTTTTCCTCCCTAATAAAGTCTCTTGAAATTGCATCGCAATGTTTGGAACTCTTTGAACACCTTGGAGAAATTCATTTTCACTGAATGGCATTATGACAATAAGTTGGGTGTTAAATTGGCCAAATCAATGGATCCTGTGGATCAGAAAACATTCTGCATTGACATTGAATCGTTGAGCTGGGAGGAATATTTCAAAAATATGCACATGGGTGTACGTGAATATTTGAACAAGGAATCACCAAAGAATTTGGAAGCTGCCAGAAGCAAGGATAATATGTGAGTATTTATTAAAACTAAAAAAAACTGTGATGTTACATCGTTTCGATCACCATCACATACTTTTATATACTTTTTATCCTTTTAAATAATGCCCTATATTTTACTTATTAATATTCCATATCCTTCTCTATCTTTCTCTTTCCAGTTTAATGTGGCTCCATGTTGCCCTACAATTGGGTTTCTACTATGGCATCTTCCGTCTGTTCCTTTGCTTTGGCATGACAAATGGTTTGGCCGCCCTCTTTTTGCCACTTGTCTACATTCTGATGTATCCTCTATAAATCCGTCCTTCATTCGGCAGTAGTTTTAGAAAATTCTTCTCGCTTTTTTTTAATTTTTGAGATGAATTCTTTTCGGTTAATTTTTTTTAATTTATATTATTATTTTTTGGATGTTGTAGAATAAACAAATACATATACATACATATGTACTTAAAAAAGTAATGGTATGGAAAACAAACAAAAATGTATGTGGTGTTTTATTTATTTTAATTTAGAAACGATTACAGAACTATCTATGGACCAAACAGTTTAGTCTTGAAACACATCTAATTGCAAAGACCCTAAAATAAATAGTCGAACTCGTGCCGTTATCTGTAAGATCCGACAAATTTCAGCCCTTTTTTTGATATCGCTCATGGGGATCAATTTCGCCGGTCCCTTGGCCGAAGCTTCCCACTTTCTATTTATTCACATATCGCTCATTTGCATTTACACCAACTTATCCAACCACAACAATTCCCTCCAGAACGACCCGATTTTAATTTGGCCAGAGATTATCGACTCTGTGACAGCTGTTTTGGAAAATTACAGCCACATCGCTGGGAAAATGTGGCTAAAACCTTTAAAATACTAAATGTATTATTTCTGAATGTGAAAAGAGGCTTTTCAATCATTAAAAACCCGGAATGCTAAAATATCGTAATTTCGGTTATAAATGGCAGAGAAAGCATTCTAAATAATTGGTATGTTCCCGAACTGCAATAATCTACTAACTTCTTAGATTTATAAAGGAAACATTGTTATCATGACCTAAATATATCAAAAAATTCCTCCCAAATGTTTTTAACCTTCAAAAACCAGCAAAGCTATACCAAAATTCGATTAGAAATGGCAGAAAAAAACCTTTAAAATACCAATTAAAGTGCGGAATCAATAATTATATACAAATATGTTTTTGCCCTCAAAGAACCCATAATTGCAATTATGGCGTTATCTAGGAATACGTAGAAGAGGCCAAAAGTCGACTTTAAGACTTTCCAATTTTTTTCATTGACCAAAAAGTCGACTTTTACACTTTCTGATTTTTGTCTTTGACTGAAAAGTGGACTTTTCGATCTTTTAATTTTGTCGAACCTGTTCAAAATCGATTTTCAACTTTTACTGTCCAATGCAAAATCGACTAAAAATTTGGTTTTTTATGCTAATTATTATCAACCGATAAAATAAAGTTCAGGAATTGTATTTTTTGGCAATTTGGGGCTTGTGATAATAAGCCAAGTATTAATGAGAAAAGTCTAAAGTCGACTTTTTCCGTAATGCTTGGCTTAATACTTATCGATTTAATTATCCATACCGTTGTCATCCTAGTTGGAATGCTCCACAGATATGATACTCCAAAATTTCCGCTGGACTGTTTTATTTCCTCCAAAGCAAAGGTCAATCAATTTCATCCATATTTAAAAAAAATTTAATTATTTTATCGAAGAAGTCCTGCTCCCTGAGATATTGGTCTACAAATTTCGGTAACTAACTTTGAAAATTGTTATTGTGTTTTAGTATTCAATTAAATTTATTATTTAAAATGATATTCATTCTCATCGCCGATGTTGGCATTTGTCCATAGAAGAACATCTTAACTCATCTGTCGAATGCTCCCCAAACCATGAAGACTTTTCTATTCTATTATATTATATTTCTATTTTTTTTTTTCATATACAAATGTATAGGTCGTCAGGCAGATATTCGAAGGCCCATACCCCAGAACTGGACTGTGGAATTATTCGATAAATTATATTTTTGTAATCAGAACTTTAACTGCTTGCAGTTGATAACCTGCAAGAATGTACACTTTTCTACTACGATAACAATTTTTTCCTTTGTGATATCGACGAAAATAGTAACAATTAGTAGGTTCTTGCAGTACGGAAACATACCAAATCATATTTGAAAAAAGCAGGAAAAAAATACGAGATTCCCAGCGGAACTTTTTAATCAGACTCATTTGGGCTATCTGTGATAAACACTCGCGGCTGGACCCTAATCTATACTTTTTACCTCGCAATTACACTGATCATCTGTAACCTGTGGTCGTATCCGATAAGAATCGGTTATTTTTTCCAGTATGCGAGTATCAAGAACTATCAATAAGATCACGAAGCTAGCGAAAGTCAGCTGTTTTTTTTTTCTCAAGTCTAATGTAAACAATTTGGACTTTGTTTACGTTTCCATAGTAGAAGTCTAATCACAATAATGGAATTTGACAGAAAACTTGAAATGCAGCTGATATCCAGCTGGTCTCCCTGTATGACTTTATTAATAGACCTTGGGGAGTATCGTCCCAATGACAGTAGAATCACAGTAGCAAATAATGTAACAGTTCGTCTTCGGACGGCTCACAAGAAAGAATTAAAAAAATTAAAAAATGGAAGCTGTGTTAAGCTTTCGCTTAAGATGCCAAGTGTTTTATCTATATATTTATATTATATAATTATATTTTTAGACGGTGTCTACATATGGCGTATCGTCCTATACCTTCTAATTTAATAGAAAGTAGACTACCTGGAGGAGAACGGTGACTACATATGGTGTATCGTCCTATACCTTCTAATTTAATAGAAAGTAGACTAGCTGGAGGAGGACCCGTCTTCAGTATTTTAAAATATAAAAAGATAATGTAAAAAATCTGTTACATAAGCATTCCTTTTAATCGATATAAAAAGATAATGTAAAAAATCTGTTAAATAAATGTACTGCAAGAATCTACTATATTTTACTATTTTCTTCGATATCATAAAGGAAAATTCGTTATCGTAGTAAAAAGTAGTAGATTCTTGCAGTACAGGAACTGACCAAAAGCATTCCTTTTAATCGATTTAAAAATCCCTAATGCGGTGTACACACTAGCATTTTTGAATGACACTCTTGCCCAAATTTTGCTTGTTTGATAGTGTGGCCTCACATGTTTGTCATTCATCAGGCAACCACAAAAATATTTATGGTTGTTGGACAGTCAGTAATCGATAAAAAAATTGACAGTCAAAAATGATAGTGTGTACACCGCTTAACTGTAGTCGAGTCTTCTTCTTCTTAAGTCATTGGAATTCACTAGCAATTAATGACACACCGTTCTACAAACGGCAACACTGATCACTAATTGCATTTCTTCCTTTGCGTCTGTCATTCTTATCAGCAGTACGACCAATCTAGTGAACCCTAACGATTTGTGATCATTTTTTCCTGTTCAGTTCCAAAAAATAATTTAATTGTGTGCAGTGTTTAATTAAAAATATCGGTGGAATGAATAACAAAGCAATTCGTCGTTTGTGAGAACGTCGTCAATGTGAATGCGTCGTCGTCGAATGCATCTTTGAACAACAAAAGAAAACGAGATTACGAGCAAGAAAAAAAAACTTGTTGCTTAAGAATTGTATTGGAAAAAAGAAAATATCGGGCCGATATACGAAAAGAAGAGATACAATAGCGAAGTTACGAAAAAAATAGTTAAATTTATTGGAAAAAAGTTCAACGACAAAAAAGAAAATATAGAGCAATAAAATTCGAAAAGAAAAAAATAAAATTCAATACCAATTTCATATTTATGTGCATAAATTGAAAACAACGAGAAAAGCAAGAGAACGAATTTTACATTTAATGCAATTGTGGTGTGTGCGTATTTCACAAATTGTTTAATGTTGCTTTTTCTGTGGAATAAAGTGTAAATATTGAGACAAAGAAATTGTGGGATTTTGTATACAACTTTAAAAGGATTTAACGTCATTATTTTGCATCACCTCACCGCCTGCTGCATTTGTATCCAGATATTATCATAGAGCCCCATTTTCCATCCCAGTAAGTAGTACTACCTCTTCCATTATTAATCTCTTGGCAGTTTTTTTTATGATCATATTATTTTATTTTTTTTTTGTCGCTGGTCTGATTCTATCTTTATTGGACTTTCTCTTTTGTTGTGAACTTTATCAGCAAGTATGTTTGTTTTGCTTCGCCGTATCTTGCGTTTTTTTCTGATATGCTTTTATTTTTATTATTGTTGTTGCTGTTTTGACTTTATTTTTATCACATTGAATTTCGATGTTTTTTTCTTCTTTCGTATAAAGTTGTTTTTGTTTTATCAAAGTCACCTGCTTTTCTATCTCAATTTGGGGTTTGTTTTATGAACTTTTTTATTTAATGTGTACGATAGAGTACAGGTACGGGGAATTCTCTTTTACTCTCCTTTTTCTCCTATGATTTGTAAATGCCGCCTTTATTTTGTAATTAAATGTGCATTTGGGGAGGGGGAAATGACATTTGAAATGTGTTTTTCCAAATGACCAGTTGTTATTGACAAGTTGGGATTACTATTTTTTTTTTTTTGTTTTTGGTCAGTTGACAATATATGAAAGGAAGTAGAAGAAGAAGAAAAGCACAATCATTTGTTTTTGTAAGCCACAGTAAAGAGATGAGAGATCTATGAAAAAATTATCTGTCATCTTATTCTCTCTCAGTGACTTTTTAATCAGCTGTTATAGAGTTGCGCCAAAAAGAAACTTCAAGATTTAATTGAAATAATTTGTTGGGAAAATTTATGTCAAATTGTTTCCATGGCAAGACTGTTTGTTGGATATACCTTTTTTACGTCTTTTAAAGACGGAGTTATTGTTACAGTAGATATCGGATATAAGCACATATCATATAAGAAAAAATCGCATTTAAGAAAGAACACCGATCTTATACTTTCTTATATCCTATAATTCCATATAAGAAAAAAACGCATATAAGAAAGAAATCTCCGGATTTTTTTGAGTTTCTTATATCCGATATCTACTGTATTAGCTTATTGAAAAGAAGACAGCCAAACTATTTGACATGCCAAAGCAAAGGAATAAACGGAAGATGCCAATGACTTTTTAATCAGCTGTTATAGAGTTGGGAAATTTATATTAAATTGTTTCTATATGAAGCCTATTTGCTGGATATGTCTTTGTTACCATCTAAAAAAAAAGCAAAGTAATAAACGAAGTAGAAATCCAATTGTAGGGCAACATGAGGACACATTAAAC